GTGGTTGAAAATAATAGTATATTACAATCCGAGACGGGAAATGCTTCATTACTGGTCGAGAGGTTTTATAGTTTATCGAGACGCGTAGCGTCGAGATAAACTGAACCTCGAGACAGCAATGAAGTTTCCCGTCGAGGGTTGTATACTATTTTATTTTTAACCATAATTTCTTGAAAAAAAAAAAAATTCGGGGCAACCAAATGAGGTCGGCAAATGAAGAGGAAAATGAGAACGGGAAATATTTCCCTGCTCCATTTTCCGTCCGTGGACGGGAAATGAGTACCGAAAAAATTTCCCGTCCTGGGAAAGATAATGGAACAGGAAAATGAAAAGACAGAAATGTGACATTTTCAAATTTTTGAAAAGTCAGTAATGACAACATTTCATATTATATGGTTAAAAATAAAATAAAATCAAATGCTCCCCCTAAATTTTTCCGGCCCAGTCTGCCCCCCCCCTCCCTAACATAGAACTCTGGCGTCGCCACTGCATTTGTTTAGGTAATTTTCTAATGGCCGGTATTATAAAACACTGAATCGATTATTGAATTTCAATTTTGGGTTGGCTCCATGCAAATTGATAGGATTCAACCGAAGGTTGGAACTCTACCATCGGTTCAGTGTTTTATAATACCGGCCCTAAGTCAAGTGAAATTCAATTCCGTTGAATGTAATGAGAATATCAGCCAATTTTTCAAAGAACCTAACAAATTTTTGAAAAAATGGAAAAAAGCAATACCAATACGAACTCTCTTTTACTGCTTTCTTGTTTAAAAGACTATTTCTAGTCTTAGCTTAGTATCTCTTTGGAATTAAAAAATTCGTAACACTGCTATGATGCTACCTTTGGTTTTTTTCTCAATAAAATTTAAGTATATTAAAGCTTAAAGGCTTCTGGATATTTGAAAAAAAAAATCATTTTCCAAAGTTTCCCAGATTTCTAGGAAAAAAAAACAAAAATCAGGCCATAGTCTATTTTGTAAAAATATCAGTTAGTGTCTTTCTGGGATTAAAAAAATCGTAACTCCGCTATCTTTGGTTCTTTTTCAATCAAATTCTGGTATCTAAAGCTAAAAAGCTTCTGGATATATACAAAAAACCTTCTTCTCCAAAGTATCCCGAACTTTCAGAAAAAAAATCTAAAATCAGGACATAGTCTGTATTGTGAAAATATCACTCATTGTCTCTCTGCTGAGATTAAAAAATCCTGACTCCGCTATCTTTGGTTTGTTTTCAATCAAATTTTAGTATGTTAAAGCTCAAAAGTTTCTGAATATTTCAAAAAATTCCTCATTTTCCAAAGTTTCCCAGATTTCCTGGACAGTGACGCACCCAGGGGGAACCATCGAGCCAGGCCCCCCTCCCAGGCCGCCCCTCCAAAACTGTATTCTTACGCATAAAAAAATGTGGCAAATTTTGGGCGTGGCACCCTGACACCTTTTTTTTTAGTCAAAAGCCACAACGTATGTAGGGCCCCCCCACAAACATATTTTCTGGGTGCGCCACTGGGATTCCTCATGCCACTTTAGTCGGTTGCAGGGGCCCAGGGTTCTTATTCTTGAAACAGGGGAGCAGCGTACCCAGGAGAACGAGTGTTTCGTCTTTCTCAATAATATGCAAATGATAATATAAGTAACAAAGACGGAGCACTCGTACTCCTGGGAACGCTGCTCCACTGTTTGAAGAATGAAGACCCTGGAGGTTTCCAGGAAGTCCTTCAGAATATTTGATTCTACTTCAGGCCAAAAGATTATTAATTACAACACCGCTGTCCAATTGTCCAAAACCATTCCTCAAATTTTGCGTTGTTCGTGTGGTGGTATATTTAGAAGTTTCATTATATCGGTATAATTGATATGATCTACTGTGTGCTGTAGCGATAGCTCAGATAGAGTTGATTGAGTTTAGTGGACTGTAATTGAATTCCTTCTTTTATTTGATTTGAAGGCAGAAAGATCGCGAAATCACGTTTTCTAGCGCAATAGTATATTAATTTATCTTGCGAAAAATAAGTTGATTCGTATTGACTATTGATATTTGAAATAAATAATATAGCAGTCATACAGCCTAAATAAAAGAGGGACTTACCAAAGTGTCGTCTAATCCTCTTCTAGATGCACCTAGACTAAAGACTAAACTATTGCGCTTTGGCGACGCAACAATGGAGGAACTTCTTTATGTAATTGATGCGCGTAATTTGCGGGTGTTTATAATCAGAGTAAGTATGGGGTAAGAATTAATAACTTTTAATTTCGCGTGAAAATTTACTTATTTTCAGATTGCCGACTGATCCCGTGCATGGTCGATACCAGAGAGAGAGAGATCAATTCCGGTGCCATTTGCTAGCATAGGCGCATAAAACTTCGCCCTCTATAAGAATACCTTATCACTGCATTAAATAAATAAAATTCTTTACATTTAAGAAATAGTATATTACATTACGAGTGTAAAAAGTGACAAATTTCACACGAGTGTATGAAAGACGCTTTCTCACAAAGTGATGTACACCATTTTTTCTACGACCAAAAACCGATTTACACCAATTTCCTCTTATTTTATTTTTTTTCATTTTCAACACAGGTGCTGAAAGTACTTTCAATCCACGCATTGAAAGTAAATTGCGATGTCAATCAAAAATAATGTCAACAGTATTTTCCACACGTGTACTGAAAGTACTTTTAGCCAAGAGTATTGAAAGTACTTTCAGCACGCGTGTGATATTTCGCGCTTTCCAAAGAACCAGCTAGTGCGGTTTTTGTCATTTTCGTATGTGGTCGTAGGAAAATAGTAATTATGCACTTCAAAATTCATAGAGAGCGTTACAGTGTGAAAAATTAAATTAAAAACTAAGTTAAGACATATTTTACTCGCAATTTCAGTATTTACATTAGCCCATTTTATACCCAAAAATTCCTAACAATAAAATTCCAATAAAACTCAAGAATTGAGTGTAAATTAAAATGAAATTAAATAACTAAAAAAAAAAAAAACTCGGTTGAAGGGTTGGAAGGGGGAACCAAGACAAGGTACTTTTCAGGTCTCCCTGAATCACCCCTCCAGCCGTAGCTACCCTAACCTCAAAATCTTAAACGGCACTATGGGTCATATGTGATACCTTGTTTTAAAGGTCTTTTAATTCTCTTAATGTATCTCCAAAAAAAAATTATCCAGATTTGGATGTGACTCTCATTTTGATGAAAAACTCATTTGATCGGGTGGAACAGGTAAATGTGATTTAAGAATCGTTTTATACAAATTGAATACCAGCATGAATATTTTTGAAGAAATTATCAAGATTTTATTTTTTTGAACCCCTCTACTCTCACTGTACCTACCTGACAGTGTTCACCTCCTCAAGAGAGCAAAGTTGTTGACTCGAAGCATGCGCCATTTTGTGACAATTTAAATTTGTATCTAGATATTTTTTTTTTACAAATTCGTTTAGAGAATTAAAAAACCTTTCAAACAAGGTATCACAAGACCCATAGTGTCATTTAAAATTTTGAGGTTAAGATAGCTACGGCCGGGGTGATTCAGGGAGACCTGAAAAGTACCTTGTTTGGGTTCCCCCTTCCAACTCTCTAAACGGGTTTTCCATTTTTTTTTTTAATCGATTACCGTTTTCAAGATATAGGCCATTGACAGTTTTTGGTGGGACACCCGTTATATTTTATAATGAGGTGACCGCACCTGACAAGTGACAAGCATACTCCAAAACAGACCTAACATATTGTCCGTCGTTTTTTATCCGACACTTTCCGTATGAGGAGCAGGGGGTGAAGCTTATGGAAAAAACAGGTGTGACGTCAGGTGGCCATTGGCGTTCTAATATAGGGAGCCACCAGCTCACATTTTTTTGGAGTACCTATAAGATTAAAATCGACGAACTTTACGCACAGTATAAAGCTCTAAAACATTTTAAATCGGTGAAATCCTACAGAGTACGCTTGACAAATCCTAAAACTATTAATGCCTTGCCAGTTATGGAATTAATATGGTTATTGAATAAAAATTGTCCATCGAAAGCAACTCCCAGATCTTTTATACAATCCATCACTGTCTATAAGATTTCATCATTTATGCTGTACTTAAACTGAATGATGGTCGTTTTTCGATATATAAACGCATAACTCTACATGTTTTTGTATGAAATTCCATCCCATTCAGGTTACACCATGAAATCAAATGATCAATGTCTTCCTGAATTTTTTCACAGTCTTTCATGAATTCAATGCATTTATATAACTTTAGATCACCTGCATACAAAAGTATGTCAGTATACAAATATCATTGATAAAGATATTGAACAGTAATGGAGACATATGAGCTCCCTGAGGTACTCCGGAAGGTACATTTCAAGAAACTGACATCTATTTTCAAAATAAATACGAAACCAAGCAAGTATACTCCCAAAAAATTCCAAAGCTTGCAGCTTTCCCATTACCACCTCGGCATCTCATCATTTACCTACTTTATCAAAAGCCTTGCTAAAATCAGTGTATATAGAGTCGATTTGTCGTTTGGTTTTCAGTGACTATGTTCATATACCCAGTAAGCTTATAACTGTTGATCTGATAGTGGTGTAATGTAGTTGCCAGTGACAAAAGTTAATGAATTTTTAGTCTCTCCAAGGAAAAACAATAATAATAATGTTTGTTGATATCGAAGATTTATTTGATGTTGCAAAGTTGACCAGAAAAATATTTCCTTCAGAAGTAAAAAAGCTTCATTCTCCAATGATACATGTTTACTTAATTAATAAAACATTTACAATTATTAATCACTTTGTAACTTATCAAGAATTTTTTTTTTGCTTGATGAAGGATTTCACAAGACAAAAGAATCTCTTAGATAATAAAAACCTATAATGTCAGAGTTCAAAAACCAAAGAAGAACAAAAATCAATAACATTAACATAAATAATGTATGCCAATGGTTAGCAGGTTTTTATTTATTTCCGATAGTAATAAGTTAAAGTGGTAGTGATACCTATGCACGGTTATGTACAAATTTGTGATAATTGCGGTTCTTTTGCAAATATGTTTATCAAAAAATATTTTTAATTTGAAAAGGTATGTTTCATAATATTTTCGAATATCGATCATTGAACCTTAATAAATATTATTGTAGCAACAATAATATTGGTACACGTAAAAAGGCTACAGGATTTGTTTTTTCCATGCCAAAAACGTTGGTATCGGGGAAAAATGAAACTGTATGTATTTCATTACACGAATTAAACTTGCCTGCAAAAGTTTTAGTGGATTTAAAATGGAAGGAAAAGCATCATACTACTCTGAAAAATTTAGACTCGGATTCAGGTTGTTTTGAAATTAAAGTGCCCTTAAAACGAATTGTGGAAGCACAATTTGTAAGCGTCAGAGTTCAAGTACAAATGCGCCATCAAGAAATATATTCTGCCCATAATTATGATCCCATTTTAATTTATCCTAGTCTACAAAATAAAGTTTTAATAGAAACCGATAGGGGCCTTTACAAACCAGGGGATACTTTGAAATTTAGGATTTTGCAATTGGATCGCGATTTTTTGCCAATTTCAACCAAGGTAAGAAGTTTTAGCATTGCTTAATTTTTTCATTCAAAAGTACCTTGTAGATATCTAATATATGCATTAAAAATCCGATGGGAATTACAGTAATGGCATGGGAAAATATAACTCCGGATCGTGGATTAGTTAGTTTTGATTACCAATTGGTTCCAGAGTCGATGATTGTAAGTAATTTTAGCTTAATCTTATTATAGCAGTTCTAGATGATAATATGAGCCAATAATGACTCAATGATTAATATACATAGGTTTGTCTAAGCTGAATAAACTTCCTTCTAGGGCTTATAGAATCGCCTTGGCAATGTGTACAAGTACAAGAAAATCGAATATGCCTACCCTTGTGCGTCTTGAGATATCGAAAGTCAAAGGTCACGAAAATCGCGCCAGTGCATCTGACGTCGAATAATCCCAAACAAAACTTACGTAAAATAGTATTTTCTACAAAATTGTTCATATACATTTTTTTGTACGACCAACCGTTTTCGAAATATAGTGTGATAAAGCGGGAGCGCGCATTCAAAAAAGGTGATACTGTATTATACAGGGTGTCCCCGTTCAACTGGTCAAAAATGCTAGAGTATATACATAGAGGAACCATAGAGAAGTAATTTGAGATAGGACACCGATGGTCGGAAGTGCGCCGTTTCCAAAATACAAGGTGTTGAAATTTAAACAACCCCCTTTCATATCATCTGGAGGGCTAATGCTAGGCTGTTCAAATTTTCAGGGATTATTGATGTAGGAATGATATTTATAAATTCGTATAATGCACCCCCATTTTCTACCTGGAACTACCCCAAAAAAAAAATAAAATTTTAAACAAATTGCTTTTTTTCAATTTTTTTTTTTTTTTTTTTGGATGGTTCCACGTAGAAAATGGGGGTGCATTATATGAATTTTTAAATATCATTCCTACATGAATAATCCTTGGAAATTTGAACAGCCTAGCATTAGCCCTTTAGATGATATGAAAGGTTGTTTAAATTTCGACACCCTGTATTTTGGAAACGACGCACTTCCGACCATCGATATCCTATTTCAAATTACTTCTCTATGGTTCCTCTATATACCCTAGCATTTTTGACCAGTTGAACGGGGAAACCCTGTATAACACAGTATCACCTATTTTGAATGTGCGCTCCCGCTTTATCACGCTATATTTCGAAAACAGTTGGTCGTACAAAAAAATTTATATGAACAATTTTGTACAAAATACCATTTTACGTAAGTTTTGGGTTCTTCGACGTCAGATGCACTGGAAGCGAGATTTTCGCAAAAAAAAAAACGATTTTCGTGACCTTGGACCTTCGATATCTCAAGAGGAACATCAAAACGAAGCTCTCTGCAAAAATTCAGCTTGTTCGGCATCATTCCGCAGAGGAAGTCTAATTAATTCCCTGGAGTATATTGGGTTGATGCATGATTAAGTTCAATATTGAAGTGCGAATATTCCCTGAAGGTTGTTTGAGAAACAGTAGAACAGAGGATAACGACTTAAAAAAGCGAAAATGTGGCTATCAGGTATACAAGCATGAAATTTGGCACCGACATTCTTAAGGCGATTTTAAGAGATTTCAGTCGAGTCCCCATAAAATTCCTCCATGGGGAGGGCAGTTTCCGCCATTTTTTCAAAATGGCCGACTTCATTGTTTGAAATATCGTAAAATGACTTATTTTTCGAAAAAAAAATCCATTAGGAATATTCTTTGACTTCAAATGAAACTTACACCTATAGAAAATGGCGCCTGGCGACTACAGTAGCTCTTATTCAAGATGGCTGCCAACTTACATAAAAATCTAAACCAGACAACCCACAATAACTTGTGATAACTCGATTTCGACTAATTTTGGGTCGAGAAATCCATTTCCTGTGTTAAAAATATCATACATGTTGCCATTTCGCTTTTATGCGCCATTTTTTCAATATGGCGAACATAAATTTGACAGTCTTGAACTTATAGCGTATGGGATATCATTTTATAGGTATTTCGACATCCTAAATTTTCACAACAAAATAAACGTAAGAGCTTCCTTTTTTATTTTAGAGGGCCATTTTAAATATGGCGGCTTTCAATGTACAGGGTCTTTCCCCATATATTGACCCTTCCACTACAGGGGTTGGGTGAAGAGATATCAAAAAATTGTAAATACAAAAGTTGTGTGGTTTTACCTTTAATTTTTGAATCCGATGTCAAAAACTTTTTGTTTTTTTTAGAAATCTCAAATTTTGACAGATGGTCAGTTTGGAAATGGATTTCTCGACCCAAAATTAGTCGAAATCGAGGAATCACAAGTTATGATTGGTTGTCTGGTTTGGATTTTTATGTAAGTTGGCAGCCATCTTGAATAAGAGCTACTTGTTAACGCCTCATTAATATTCAAAAATAATTAAATAATCATAATCGTGGCAATCTCGCAATAGTGACAATTGACAAAACTCTTTACCAACCACCCCTATGAAAAACGTAAGTGGAACAGCCCAACTGGGCACGTACTGTACGTACTGTATGCGAAAGGAGAGGGCAGTTGTCTTCAATATCGTTTAAAGATAGGCACGTTCAAATTCGTAATTCATTTCAAGTCTTTTTTCCCAAAATTATTCATATATCGCGAATCAGCAAGCGTCTCTTATCCAACGCTACTGTTGTCGCCGGACGCCATTTTCTATAAGTGTGAAATTTTTGAAAGTTTTATTTAAAGTCAAAAAATATTCCTAAAGGTTTTTTTTTTGAGAAATAAGCCATTTTACGATAGGTATTTCAAAAAATGAAGTCGGAAATTTTGAAAAAATGGCGGAAACTCCCCATTCTATGGAGAAATTTTTTGGGGACTCGACTGAAATCTCTTAAAATCGCCTTAAGAATGTGGGTGCCAAATTTAATGCTTGTATACCTAAAAGCCACATAGTTTCCGTTTTCCTCCGGGCTACAGTGAGCGGAAGCAATGAATAGAGCAGGTCACGAGAATGGGGCGGAAGTGAAATAATCTCCCAACAATATTCCGTTTGAGGAAGTTTAACTACTCACTAGAATCACTAGAAAATGGCTTCCTGGTCTTTTCTTCAAAATTTCGTCCTCGAGACGCACTGACTTCTCATAGTGGACGTTGCCATCTTTGCCTTACCAGATACATATCACTTCGCTGACCAGTCAGAATCAACTACTCCGAGGGCAAATACCCCTACCGGCGTTGAACTACACTGATTGGTCTGAGCTTTCGTTGGCAATGGAAACTGTTAGAAAGATTTTTTCAGGTAATGACCAACGTGAATATAGGGACACTACGGTCCCTGTTTGGGAATCGGCCCACTGAGCAGTGGACTCAGGCTTCCCGTGCCATTCCTTGACGCGTTTCGTCCTTGTTAGGACTCATCAGAAGGACATAGGTTGAAGCTCCCTGTCCAAACAAAATTGAACTTTGCTGACCAGTCAGAAACAGGGAGCTTCAGCCTATGTCCTTCTGATGAGTCCTAACAAGGACGAAACGCGTCAAGGAATGGCACGGGAAGCCTGAGTCCACTGCTCAGTGCGCCGATTCCTAAACAGGGACCGTAGTGTCCCTGGATTCACGTTGGTCATTACCTGAAAAAATCTTTCTAACAGTTTCCATTGCCAACGAAAGCTCAGACCAATCAGTGTAATTCAACGCCGGTAGGGGTATTTGCCCTCGGAGTAGTTCTTTCCAATGACCTATTATCACAGATAGACAGAGTATTCCATTCATAAAATACTATTTTGTTGTGTTGACAACATGTTTATTGGCTAGGGGGGATTCGGGGTGCGGGCGGTCCATGGTGGGGATAAGTCGCCCGGTTTAAGTCCGGCCTCAACAGCTGTTCCCTGCCATGGACCAGACTCAATTGGTCCCGCCCCAAAACCAAAACGATGATATTCGAAAAATATTCCAGACTAACACGAACATATCTTATGTATCGGTCTTTTTTTAACATATACTAATCATCATCGCATAGGATAGAGACAACAAGATACTCTGGGTCAGAACGGAACGTATTACTATGAGAACCAGGAGGCCGAGTTTAGTCTAGTGCTGTGTTGCCAAGTGTAATTGAAAGGCAGGACTTTATACCTACGTTAGAAAGAGAAAATAAATATTCCTACGACTAAATGTGGCATTTTAGTAGTGGGGGAATTTGGTCAGGATAGAAAGAGTCGGACATGTTGTCAACATATATTTTTGTTTATAAATCCGTCTATCTGAGATAATAGGTCATTGGTTGTTTCTGACTGGTCAGCGAAGTTCAATTTTGCTTGGACAGGGAGCTTCAGCCTATGTCCTTCGGATGAGTCCTAACAAGGACGAAACGCGTCAAGGATTGGCACGGGAAGCCTGAGTCCACTGCTCAGTGGGCCGATTCCCAAACAGGGAGCGTAGTGTCCCTGTATTCACGTTGGTCATTACCTGAAAAAATCTTTCTAACAGATACATATCAGCTTATTCTTTCATTTTGGGCCATGCATCAACCTAATATTATTTTCCAAACCCTGCTTTTACAGGCACAATAATTTATCCTTAAAGACTCCTGTTTACAACAACTTTACTATTGTACACCTTGGAATCACCATCTTACTGCTCAAAATATCCTGTATCGAATCAATTAAATAACCAATTGACATTTTGAAATACCCTCTTAATAAAGCTAAAAAAAGCCTAAAAATTAATTTTGAACTCAATTTTGAAATTAACTTTAAAAAACGTTTTCGCCACATGAAATTTGGGCTAATTTCAAAATAATTTGAAAGTTTCTTTTTAGGGTAAGTGGAAGCTCCAAGCAGAAAACCAAACAACCACCTTCGAAGTAGCAAAATATAACGTTCCAAGGTTCAAAATTGACCTCAAATACCCCAAAAGTATTTACTACAAAACAAAATCCATCAATATTCTCGTTTGCGGCAAATATTCTAATAATAAACCGGTTGCAGGAATAGCTTTTATTAAAATTTCCCATTCTTTTAGTAATATGAAATCTATTAATGAACTGAAAGAGGTAATAATTACGTCAATCAGATAATAATGTATTTATTAGTGGGTCTTTCTAGATGGTAAATGGTTGCGCCGAATTTCAAATTGACAAAGCCACTTTTGGTGTGGAAAGCTTGAATGAAAAAATGTTCGATTCTAAAAAATATTTGCAAATTACTGCAACTATTACAGAACACGGTACAAATAAAATGGATGTAGCTTCAGGAAAAAGCAAGATTTTATTGAAAGTATAAGATAAGTTTTTTCAAATAAGTTTATTCTGACAAAATAAAACATGTTGCAGGGTTATAATCTCAAATTCAATAGCAATCCGATGTTCATTCCAGGAATGCCTTATGAGGGACAATTGAAATTAACAAATATTATTACAAGTATTGAAGATGAGGTTGTAGAAATATGCTATAACTTAGCAATAAAAAAAAGCTGGAATTATTTGAACAAGGAACAGTGTCGGAATTATAGTATACCAAAAACTGGCATTGTAGCTTTTAAATTGTGGCCTGTAAAAACTAATGTTCTTCATGTTTCATTACATGTGAGTTTTTATTTTATTAATTAATTTAAGTTAAATACTCGTTTATTCTAGGCGAAATCCTTAAATAATTCACTAATAACTGACGATTTCTTGATTGTGAGACTGTTTTCTCCTAGCTCCAGTTATATAAAAATGGAGAAGATACCTTCAGAAAAAAATGCTTGTTATATACATTATCAATATAAAGTAGCATATTCAACTGATCATTTTAATAATGGGGATAATATAACGTTCTATTATACGGTAAAATTCAGTTTAGTTTAGATTAAAAAATTCACAGCTTGGTTTCTAGATAAAATCTTCCTTGGAAATACTTGAAATGGGGAAACATAACCAAACAGTTCAAAAAACTGATACAAATTCTAATAATGAAGATACAAGCGAGTATCTCGGAGAAGTTCATAAGTACGTTAAACTTGGAGCAAATATTGAACATTTTACTTTAAATTTCCAAATCAAGAAGAAATTTTTAACTGGATATCAACTGCTTATCTATTATGTTACTAAAGATGGCGAAACTGTTGCTGCTACAAAAACTGACGAAATAGAACCATGTTCGTTGCAGGTAATTATTACACAAAAATGATCATTATTTAACGACTCCTGCAAATCACTTAAAACGGTAAAACACTTTAATTAATTTAGTTATTTTTTTTAAAATATTATAAAACATCAACTCTCTTTGAACTCTGGCCTCCTTAGGCCGGATACACGCACGTTATTTCGCGCGGTTTATCGTGGCGTGTTGGGATGTAGCGGTTTGCACGCGCGAAAGAACGGCGTGGCAAAAAAAGCGTCATGTTCCATGCACTTGACAAAGTATTCAAATGATTTAGCACGTGATTACGCGCGGCGTATCAGTTGGAAAGGAAAAACCGTATGTGTATGGGTAAAAAGTGTCATTTATCGTGCCGTTTGGAAGTGCATGTTGTCATGTACTAATTTTCAACGTGATAGTTTGCTACGCGGCGTTTATGTCTCCGTACTAGCCTCAAAACCGTGACGTGGAATGGCGTGTGGACACGGTTGTGAACTGCACTATCATGTACTTGAGTACTGAGACGTCGCACATTCCAGATGAAAGCACGTCTGAAATCCCTTCCCATTCTATCATTGCGCGTAGTGTTCCTCACTCACGCACATGATTTTTCACAGGTTTTTGCAGATGAGACGATAAACCGCGCGAAAGAACGTGTGTCTATGCCGGCCTATGTCAATTTGCGGCGCTTTGTTACCTACGATGTCGTCAGCGAACTATAGATGATTTAAACGTTTGACGTTAATATTTCTGTCATGTCTAATTTTTTGAGTATATTGTAACGGAATTTACGTGCGCCGATACAGAATCAGAAAGCAGAATTCTAGATTTTTACAGTGCTCTTCGGGAAAAAGGTCCATCGCGTTTATTCTGGATTTTGCAAGAATAGATTACGGATATATAATGGCCGGTATTAGTTAGTAGTTTTTAGGTTTAATATTGACTGTGATACGACTTAGATAGTGATTATTGTAAGAGTTAAGTTGTTTGAGTTAATTAGTGAAGTAATGTCAGAGTGTATAGTAACGTGGAATAAATTATTGTTGTGGTAATTGGACTTTGATTTTTGGAATGAACGCACTCCAGAGCCGTGACAATATCTTCCATTGCCAGCGTGACAGTCTTCGGTGATATCACATCTTCATGACTATTTTCTTGATTGGAGTAAGATTGCTTTTTCCAGCTGAACTGTCAATATGCCACTTCTGTCGATATTATGTAGAACCTGTCTCCTTTTATTTATATCATGAGTCAATTCTCACCCATCTTTCACAACTTATACCAAAACTTCTCAAAATTGTTTAAGATTGTTTATGAGGAACCATGATCCATCAATCCAAGAAAATAAATAAATAATTCGGGAAGTAGGTACCACAAGTACCATTGGAGTGCCTATATGACTATCTACAGCGACCGTCAAGGGTCGATACTGCGTCCTCAAGTTGCCAGTATACAAACAGTAATAATAGTCCCTTGCTCTCTATCACTCAATTGAAGAAGGAAAGGAAAAATACCAAGAATCAAGAACTAATAACGATTATCGATAGCAAATTATTAGGGAAGTTACCCATCGTAAATTTAATCGAGTTCCAATAAGAACTGAACTACGAACATGATATTTAAAGTTCTACTAACAGACTGGTCATTGTTTAAAATTTAGACCAAAATAAAATCATTCCAGAGCTATTCTGTGGGTAGAGTGGCCTATTTTAATGGTGAAATTGAATAGATAGTATCAGGGATGAAGATGCTGAACCAGTTGCTCTAATAAGGCTCTACGTTTTATTTATAAGATTTACAATAAACAATATGTGTCAGTATCATATAAGTTTAGCAAATACTAGATATTTTGGGACACCTAGTGGTGGAAAAGCGAAGAATGAGGAACTATAGGTTATTTAAGCTATATTTAGGATGACGTCACATTTAGTAAATTGTTGCTGGCAACCTAACAAAACTTGAAAGTACTTTTCAACGAATTTAAAGTAGGGGAATTTCAAATGTTTTTGGTTGGCAACGGTGCGCGACGTTTTAAATAAGGCGTATTGATTAATTTCGTTATTTTTAGCTGTCAGTGGTCTTGATAATTTATGATGACATTCTGGTGAATTATGAGAAAAAAAAAAGAGGCATTGACAACATTGTCTGCCCTTAATCGATGACGTCATCCTAAAGAAAACGTAAATAAGCTTCATCCTTTTAAAGTGAGAGATCAATAAAATTGGGGTTATACAGCAGCACATTAGAAGAGACAACCAAAGTGATATTGAGAACCTTTGTGATGATGGAGTAGACAAGATTGGCGAGATACAGAAAGAAAGGATGAATAATATGAAATAATTGGGTTATCAACAAGATGACGCACTGCGATTAGTAAATTGATGGAGAACTCAAATGGTTCTTTTTCTTTAGGGGTAACTAAAAGAGAAGAGAAAATTTGTAATGAGGTAGATAGTTTTCTAAGAATCCCTGGAGTAGATCAGGCTGCCAACTACAGGTTTGATTACAAAAATTTCAACACGAAAATATGGCCCATTTTGAACAGAAAAAGTTTATGCAACATGGGGTCCAAACTCAACCGTTTTTAAGAAAAAGGCCTTCGAAGTTTTGAAATTTTTTTGACGAATATTTCAAAGATAAAGAAAATCATTATGAGATGTAAACAAATTCAGTTTATTTAATTATTAAGTAATTATGCATTTTTAGTCAACAACAATAGCAAAAAATTGAAAAACCTACATAAAAATTTCACTTGTAAATAGGTGTCTGAACATCTGGCAACATAGCACAATAAAGAATAGGTGGTGGAACGTTGAACCTTGATTGAACTAAATAAATTGATTCTTGATTTGTCTTGTCTAGTTGGGAAACGCGCGTAATTCAAATTCATTCTTTTTTGAAAATAAAATGTTTACAAACGTCGAATATGCAGATAGGTACTTATTTAGGCAGAATCGTTACAAAATGCTCATTTAGCCGCCAGAATTTACAGGGAAACTAGGGAAAGATTTCCTGGAAGAAAAGCACCCACCTGATGAAAGAACATTGTGCTCGTTTTACAAAGATTGCGTGATACAGGAAGTGTGAGTATCAAAAATCTGCGTGTTGATTTCAGTGTTTTGAGAACCTTTTAACAAAAAATAATATTTTCATAATAAGGATTTTGCAAGTAGCTGAGTTAGTATTATTTGATTTTTCTCCTGAATGTTTAGTGCAAAAATGTCATTGAGTGCAATTTACAACTTAATAAAACGGCACATTTTTTATTTTTACTAGAAAAGTGATAAAAATGCAAGTTATTATTTACATTATTTGAATGCCAATAAGAAACCAAAACGTAAACAGATGGAAATAAATAAACTCCGTGCAAAAAAGAAACTTTTCAAATTCACCAGTTTTATTTACATCTATATCCTGGCAGAGATAATATCTGTACAATGTTGTCACGTTGTTAACATTTTTCTAAATTTAAATTCTGCGATAACTCCGAAAATACTAACAACTGTCTCATGGTTAATAGTTTGAAATGGGCCATATTATCTCATGTTAAAATATTTGTACTCATACCTGATACACCCTGTATATATCAGAACATACAACGCAAGGACTTGAAGAAATGTTAGAGGAACTAAATTACTAACTCGATAGAATAAATGGGGATTTATTAGGACTGGCAGAAGTCAAAAGAAGAGGAGAAGAATATCTCATTAGACTTAAACCAAATCACGTCGTATTCTAAAAAAGTGATGATAATAGCAGTGATAGAGGAGTTGGAATCCTAATACACAAACGAATGGTCCCATATCTACGAATACTCAAGAGCAAATCTGACATAACATTGAAAATCAACAAGAATACAACAATCAAAGTCATCCAAATTTACGTACCAACGACCGAGCACGAGGACCAAGAAATAAAGGAACTTTATGAAGAGATATCACAGTGTCTCCACGGGAACAAAACAAAGTACATTCTAAATAGTTAGGGGAGATTTAAATGCAAAAATAGGCCAAGAAGACACCGACTCATGTTACATTGGCAAACTCGGACATGGTACCCTGCCATGCTAATCAACTTTTTACATTGGAAAGCCCGGATGGAAGGACAAAAAACGAAATAGACTTTATACTGGCACATGAAAAATACATAATCCAAGATGTAGACGTCTTAGGCTCATTCACGATGGCAGCCATCATAGAATGGTAAGATGTAAAATAGCTATAAATGGCAGACTAGAAAAAGCAAAAAAAATTCGACCACCTCCAAAAGAAATTAAGCACACATACCAGTAAAACACAAAAAACAGAATTCGCAACAAAGTTAACAAAAAAAACTGAAGAAAGACCCCATGAAACCCCACGAAGATATAAAGAAACAGTCAAAAAAAGATGAAACCGAAGGGTGGGTCTAGAAAAATTTAGCAAAGAAACAAGACCAATGCTGGAGAAGAGAAAAGAACTTATAAAACAAGGAAAAAAAGATACACCAGAATACAGAGAGACCAACAATATAGTCAGAAGCATGAAAAAACAAGACATTAAAAATTACTAAGAAGCACAAATCGAAAAACTGATAGAACAAACAAAAAGGTTAAACTTTTCTAAAAGGGAGAACGCACACAAAAGAGAAATTACAAAGCTGATGGACAAACAAGGAAACATTATAGAAGTTCGAAATGGAATATTGAGTGTGGCGGAAAATTTCTATAAGAAACTTTACGACGCAAAAAGCAACAACGACAATAATATCCAAAATTCTAAATGTTGGGTCAGAAGTGCTGAAGAAGGCAGGAGAATACCTGGTAAAACAACTGAAAACACTTTTCAGTGACTGCCATCGTCATTAGGATATACAAAAAGGATATCCATCAAATCCTGAGAACTATAGACCCATAATCCTCGTGTCTCAGATATACAAATTGTTTATGAGAATAATCACCAACCGAACCGCCTAGAGAGGAAATTCGATGATTAGGTACCAACCTAAAGAACAAGCAGGCTATAAAAAGAGATACAGCACTATAGAAGATCTTCACACAATAAGAATACCAAATGAAAAGACAACCGAATATAACATTACGACATGACTATCATTCATCGATTTTAGTCCTCGAAGATTTGTTTAAGGAACTACATTGAGAAAATAGGGGGATCAATATCTGGAGGAAATCTCGATAATTCAAGATTTGCTGATGACATCGCCACGAACGAAACAGACTTAGAAATCATGCTGAAAGAATTACTCCAAGAGGCCAAGAAGATCGGATTATAAATGAACATATCAAAAACAGAGTTTATGACAAACGGAGAAAACAGATAGGGACACAATAACCATAGAAAACCAACAGGTAAAAAATTAATCTTCTACAAGTATAAAGGACAGGAAATAACGCTTGGCAAAGTCAATCAAGAGCTTGAAATTAATAGGATAATACTACTGGGATGGGCGGGTGGTAAAATGCGCCACATATTCCGGTCCAAGTTACTTTTGAAGCTGATAACTAAAGTCTACAACGAATGTATTCTGCCAGTAGCTGCGTATGGAAGCGAAACATGGACGCTCACAAAGAAAAGCCTAAATAAGCTGCAAGTACATCAGCGAGCAATCGAAAGGAGAATGATAGGTACTACACCAAGGGATCACAAGACCAACGAGTGGATGAGAAATACAACAATATATCCAGAGGATAAAGAACGTCTACGAAAAAGATGAGAATTTTTACCATAGACTTGGCGTATGTCAAATGCCAAACAGTAGCTGGGCTGGGGGATCATTTGTCAGGTACTTACATCAAGTGACATAGGGAGACTAGCGACCCAGTGATTTAAACTGTAAAGATAGCCAAAAAGGAAGACGACTTTGAAACGCTGTTGGGTGACTATGGCACAAGCGACAGAAAATTACGAAAAAAAGATAGGCTATGGGCAACAGAACATCAGAATACAGGAAAATAATAAACTAACCATACTTTTGAAGAAGCCAGCGAAAGCAAACAATAAATGAAAGGGAACCTATATTTAGACCAACTAGAATAACGTCTCGAGGTTTCAAGAAAAATTATCTCTTATGCGATGTGCCACAGATCAAAAGCCTCGAAAATGTGTTACACCTGCATAATATCTGCAACTCATAAATCCGTAGAAATTAGGGGAAAATTGGGGTGAGAATAAAATCGACGAACAAAGAAAAATGGAGTAAAAAAAGGTTGGACTGTTCAGTAGAGATCTAGTAAGTCAGGAAAGACGATGAGAAAAGAACAGTGGTGAAGACTAAAGTAGTGGTGATTGCAGTATAAAGTACAGACAGTGGAAAGTCGGTTAAATATAAAAAAATCTTTCAAAGTACTCGTGAATAGTGAAGACCAAAGACATTGTAGGTCTGAGAAGATAGGTATGTAGTTTGAAGTGAACAAAATAAATTTTTATATGTATTTGATGATTAGATAAACCCCTGTAGTCGGATTTTTATTGATTAGAAAATGGTAAGTTACATGTAGCGAGAATACTACCTTCCAATTATTAACAAAAAAAAGGTTAATATTGTGGTATTTTATTAAATTTCAGATTTACTGAATTTGAGAGTTATAAAGGTGTATTTAGAATTATACACCCACAGTTGTTTTATTCTCACACCCGCAAAAATTTTGGTTGTTACCCTGAAACAAAATTAAATCACTGCTCGCCAGCAAATACGTTTCCGAACGAACTCTTTTAACAAAAAAGTTGGGGTGGCTAGAGGTTTGGGAGGGTTGATGAGAAGACTGATCAAATATTTCAAATTGTCTTATATTATCGCATCACGGAAAAAATGGTCAAAAAAAATATCAGTTATATGCAGGAATATCAAACAACCTGGAGAAACGAACTAATTTTACTTTTCCACCCTGCTAGATAAGTTCTAATTGGTCACAAACTCAACTTCTTCCCGGTACAATGGCAACACTCAACATAAAATCAGCCAGTCCTGCCTTATGCGCAATATCGGTCACCGATAAAGCTAGTAAATTTATATCGGCCAATCATCAAAATGTAAGTTTAGACAGGATTTTGAAAGTGTTTTCGCCGGAGAGAGAAAGTGCAAAGTCTGGTAGAAATAGTTGCGTTTCGAATCAGCCTAGAAGAAATGCAGGACCTTCCTCAGTACAGAATATGGAGCATTTATTAAAAAGGAGAAAACGCCATATTTATTCGTTTGCAGAAGATTATGACGCTTATGATATATTTTCTGTACGTATATTCTTCTTATTGAAGCAGCTATTGACTACAACTTTTTTTATATAGAAATTTGGGACTATAACAATAACGAATCTTCAACTGATAACCAAGCCTTGCTATAACGGTACGTATTATGACAAAGTATTACCTGGACTCCTTATTTCAAGCATTAACGTTTTCAGGACCACTAGTTGAAGACTTACCTCCAGGTAAGCTAAAACCAACTGTTAATCTATACAAATATCATTAACTTGCTTTTCCAGTACAATTTTTAACGGATCCTTATGAAACAGATGAGGAAAACTCACATTTAGCCATACGTTCATTTTTTCCTGAAAATTGGCTATGGGAACTAGTCCCAGTGGTGTAAGTGGTACTTATTGGTTCAAATATTTTTTAAAAAATTAAGTATTTTATTTAGGAATTCTGTTCAACTGCAAAGAGAAGTTCCACATTCAATCACAAATTGGATAACCAATGTATTTTGTGTATCGGAAACAGATGGCATAGGGTTTACGCAAGAAACTGAATTATTAAGTTTCCAACCATTTTTTGTTGAAATATTGACACCACACAGCTTGAAAAAAGGGGAAACTTTCAGTTTGTTGGTGCATGTCCATAACTATGGAAATACTTTTCCGGTAAATTTATCGAACGATTTCCATCAGAACTTTACTTAGTAACCTTTTGCAGATAAAAATTTCCATCCAAATGTCTCCCAACTTACAGCTCTCCCAAAATACATCGGCAACGTACTGTCTGAAGCAAAATATTACTCAGACACACAGCTATCATATAGCAGCTCTAGAAACTGGTTTGGCAAATGTGACGGTATTGGTGGAAACTGAAAGTGGCTACAATTTACCTTGCGGGTCTGAAACTATCATTTCCAAAAGGTGAGTAGGAGTTGAAGCAGCGACAGCAACTAATTATTTGTCTACTGTTGAGAACAAAAAGGTATTTTTAACAACGACACATATCGAGTGAGCATTATGATGGCTGGTCTTGTTTTATTTTATAAAAAAAAAATTACGGAATCTCAAATGCAGAATCGTTTGAAAAAATTAAATTCTACAAAGATGTGCTGGGTCGGGACTGTTATGGATTAATATTCGTCAAGAACGAGGGGGCTCTCCTAGTTAGTATAGGTCAGGTTTCGCAAAAGATAAGAATAGTAACTTGATGGCTTAGGTACAACTAGTATCTATCAGCATAATTGGAGTAGGAAAGGAAAATTCTTCTGCTTTCTCTACAGACTACCCAGCGATACACACTACAGAAGGCTCTTTTCCGATTTTGCTGATTAAAAAACGACGATATTCAGACTAACCACCCAAATCCAGAAGACTTTGCGACTAGTCGCGGCGTGACCCAGCTTATACAAGAGCCGACCAGAATCCCAGATAGACAAGGTGACTTTGCTAGCCTCTGGACTTGCTTCTTGCGACGGATCCCGACTCGTATAATGTTACCGTACACCTTCCGGAACATCAGACCACAAATTAATAACCCACAAACTACCGTCCCATTGCTTTAGTCCCAGCAATTGCCAAAGTAATGGAGAAGCTTGAAAACCAGCATATTTTGAACTACCTATAATCCACAAACATTATGAGCGACCATCAATATGGATTTCGTAAACATAGGTCAACGAGTGATCTGTTGGCCAATGTATGATGAATTCCGCGCAATAGCCCAGGGACATTTCAAAGGTATTCGACAGGGTGTGGCATGAGAACCTCCTTCCTTAACAAGTTGGGTTCTTACGGCTTTCCATCGACTTTCGTTAGATGGCACAGCAGCTTTCTCAAAGGCTGATCGGGCTGATCCATCCAGGTCGCCGTAGATGAACACACCTCGGAGAGGTTCAAAACAAACGCCAGGATTCCCCAGAGATGCATTCTGTCCTCCACCCTCTTCCTGTTATATATCAACGGTGCGGTTGTTGAGCGTGGAGGTTGGAAGTAATATGTCTTGGCATAATAATGTGGCGGAAATACCTGAAAGGGCCCTCTTAAAAGCTTGGCGCTCTTTTCAAGGTGAAAAGGCTGTACGCAGCAAAACAGCTTTTAATGCTTTACTATTTTCGGCAAGCCCCAAATATTATTTTTAAATAATAATAATTTCTGCTGCTGATAACAAGTTTTGCGAACTTGCTTAATTTATTCGAAATCCTGTTATCTCAATAACAAAAACCACATTTCCTGGCGATAATACCTGTCGTTTTTCATTCATTCAAAGTCTAGTTAGTTATTCTAATTCCAGCGTCCTTAAGTGAGACAACATTTTTTCAGTGCTCCAGTTTCAAAACATTTTTCTACGAAGATTTCATTCAAAGTTGGGCGTTGGCTCATTCATAGTCAATTGTGTTTAGTGCTAAAAAACTATGTAAGTAATTTTTTCATTATTCTTCAACATATAAAATATAAGTTGGAATCTTCCTAATGAAACTGTCTTTTGGGTACTTATTGCTTATTCGATTTCAGCTAACTTTTGAGATCAGATTATCGAATACTTGACTAGTGTTCATGATCGCACGACCACTCTCCGCGAGTAGCTAGCCGACACTCCCTTTTTACCACCTTTCCTTTAGTTCAGGTCCTTTTAGTATTTTAGGGGTAAATTCATTCCCTAACGAGCCGTTTCAAATGGCGCCCAACGTGGGGCACTAAATAGAACACTTTCGAGTTTTGAGTTTCTAATGAAAAAAAAAAAAAAGAAATAAACCTAAATGAAAAGATAAAACTCAAAAGTGTTCTATTTAGTGCCCAGTCAAGTATTCGATAATCTGATCTCAAAAAGGGCACCAGTGACCTATGACTTGGGCCCTGTGTAGGAATGGTTTTGCCTATTAGACCATCCAGACATCAATTACTCCCTACTGGGAGGGGTTTTCTTTCAGGAAAAGAACCACTGGGTAAATCCCTCACCAAGAAAAAAAAAACACTAAAAGGCAATACCAATATGGCATTAGTTTCTTGAATATAAAAATTCTAGAATAGCCTCAAAATATTATTGAAATAAAATGGCCACTGGATTTATCATAATTCCCTCAAAATAATTTATGTAAATCAACATTACATAATTTTTACTTAAAATATATCCCTATGCGAATACGTACTTTGAAATAATTTCTAAGATTCGACTAACGTATTTTTAATTAAGGCATTACCCATTCAATAACATCTGTCCCTATCCATTAATTTAATTCCTTCAAGAATTCCTAATAAATTTGAATTTACTTACATACTGCAGAGGGTGTGGTTTTGAAGCCACGATGATCAGCTTTCTAGGGGGTTGAAGATGGAAAACTTTCCCGAATGTGTAGAGGGATTACCAGACTATAAATTACGGAAAAGAACCCATAAATACCCGGGAAATATTACAGAAATTACAACAGAATATCACAACATAAAATTGTTGGGATTAAGAATTCCATGATATAACTTACCCAAAAAATGGCGTCAAGATTTTCGACTATCGTTAACGTGGACGAATGCTTTGAATCCGACAATTTGTCGGTTTTACAGCCTGTCAAAGTTGCAAATAGTCAATTTTGAACTGTCAATATTTCCAAAACAGTTGAACTTAGGTATAGGGTATACCACATGAAATCTGCTCAGAATTTTACGTAGAATCGAAATATGCAATCACATACAGGGTGTTCCATCTGAAATAGCGATGTTGCTACTAGTTTAGAGTAGAAGCGGCAACGCTGCATGAACAAAAATATTTTTAAAGTGTAGATTATGGTCGTTTATCCCGGTTGCCAAATTTTCAAAATGATCCGCTTTTTAGTTCTCCATAAACGTCTAATACGCCATCCACCGTGGGACACCCTGTATAAATCTAATTTGAAAATATTTCGCTGAACAAAATTTGTTTAAACTAATCTAATTCAACATTTAATCTATAGAAAATAGCAATATGTAATACAATCACATTTAGACCATTACACCTCTCCAAATTTAGAGTCAACAAATGCCATACTTATAATGGGATACAGATGATTTGGGACTAGGTCCTTCAATTTTTATTATTTTATTTGATCTAAATTCATGATTGTCTCTAAAAAAATAGAAGAACGTATTATTATCAGGGTCTTTAGGAATAATGAAAAAATTACTTACATAGTTTTTTAGCACTAAACACAATTAACTATAAATGAGTCAACGCCCAACTTTGAATGAAATTTTCGCAGAAAAATGTTTTGAAACTGGAGCACTGAAAAAACGTTGTATCACTTAAGGACGCTGGAATTGGAATAACTAACTAGACTTTGAAAGAATGAATGAAGAATAACATGTACTATCGCCAGGAAATGTGGTCTTTGTTATTGAGATAACAGGATTTCGAATAAATTAAGAAAGTTCGTAAAACGTGTTATCAGCAGCAGAAATTATTATTATTTAAAAATAATATTTGTGGCTTGCCGAAAAATGGTGCCCAAATTGGGGCCCTGCATTTCTATGCTTTGGGTCCCGGCGGCGTGAAACCAAATTTCGAATGATGATGTCGCATTGAAATAATTGGTAGGTAACGAGACATGAATTATTGTCTGATCGTGGCCAGAGTGATGGGCTACCAAATTCCAGGTTACCAGCATGAGATACGGGGTATCAAATTTCAGGTTATGGGTTCTAGGTTATATTGATTTCATATGCGGATAATGGGGCCGCGGGTTTAGCAGCGGAGACGAGGGGCCCCTTTCCGATTTTTCCCTAGATTTAGGGATATTTTATTGGCAACGTCGCACATTATTAATTTCGCACGTACCTGTCATCTTGTATGGGGTCCCACATTTTCGGTTATGAGTTCATGTAAATGGGGCCCCGAGAAATGGGGTCACGGGTCTAGCACCGGGGAGACGCATGTGGCTCCTTTGCGTCAGTTGGGTTAGGCCTCTTCAAATTGGGGCTTGCCACTTGGGTTAAGCCTCTTCAAATTGGGACTTGCCAAAAAATGGGGCCCACGAAAAAAATAGGGCCCACGAAAAAAATGGGGCCCACGAAAAAATGGGGCTCCGAAATGGGGCACAGGCCCTTCTGGGTTAGGCCCCTTCAATTTGGGAATTCTCTGATGACGGGCGCGGGCCCCAGAACGAAAATGGGGCCACTTTCGGTCTAGAACCCCCCTTGTATATCTACTCGGGACTCCTTTTTATGGAGAAGTGCAAGTCTGTGGCACCAGCTTTCATAGCACATCTTTCTCGAACACTACAACCTGCAAAACTTTGAGAAGAATATCCACAGACACCTTCAAACAACCCTTATTTACCCGTGTATTCCATATAAAACAGGTACTTCACCGACACAAAGAAAATACAGTGAAAATAGTGAAGCCACGCTCCATTTATACTGAGAAGAGTGCTGTAGATATTTTTATTCTACGTATTTCACACACAAAAAATGTTCTACATAAAATTGCACAAGTCAAAAGCCCCAAGCAAGACCTTCAATTCCCTTATTACCTAACTGTCATTGTTAAAAATACTTAAGTAGGTAAGTTAAGTTAAGCAGTCTATAAATCTATGGGAGGTACCTACTTGTCTTGTAAGATAATATAATTTCTTGTAGAGATGCAGTCTTTAAGAGCCTTATGATAGAACCAGAAGGTTATTTGATGACGAATACTAAAGCAGTATTATTATGTGCGAACAGTGAGCATTTTGACAAAAATATTACTTGGAATATTTATATTCCACGCGATATTGTTTCTCGTACTGAAAAAGTCAGTCTTGCCATCAATGCCGATTTGTTAGGAGAAACTATAGAGGTGAGCTAAACAATAGAATATGTTTAGAAGTTTAATTATTTATCTAATGTTTGTTGCTCAAGCTTTATACAAGATATCATTTCGCAGAAAAATATATCATTCGAATATTTTGTGAATATTTTGAGTGAAAGATTTATAGCTTGAATATAAGTCTTCCTTTACAATAAAAAGTTTTTAGGCGGTCACTCTGGTGGTCCCCACTGGAACCATTTCAACATTATTTGTAAAAAAAATAAGATAACTTTACTGTAAAATGTAGGTACACCATGACAGTCTATAATGATTTTCTTCTTTACCATTTAGAATTTACATCAGTTACTGACCATTCCATCAGGTTGTGGTGAACAAATTATAGCTTCAATGGCCCCAAATCTATACATATTGCGTTATCTTAATGTAACTGGCGGTTTAACTGCTTCAACAAAACAAAGAATCATGAGAAACCTCAAAATAGGTATACATTTGCGTTGAAACTTATTGAAACTATACTAAAACAGAAACCATATTTTAGGTTACCAAAGAATACTAAATTATGCCCACAGCGATGGATCTTTTTCAGCTTTTGGCTACTACGATCCGTCAGGATCAATGTTTTTAACAACCTTTGTCGTTAGAGTTCTTCTGGCAGCAAAACCTTATATTTATGTAGATCAAAGAGTCATAGATAAGGCCGTCAATTGGATTTTTTATCATCAGCTCGAAAATGGTTGTTTTGACACTATGCATCACGTTTTCCAAGATATGGTATTGCAGCAAATGAAAGTTTTGTAGATAAATATCAGCAAAAACTGTTTTTCTAGGGGGGTACTAACATGGAAAACAGTACGGCGGGCCTGACAGCGTATGTTATTTTCAACTTATTTGATGCTAACGTCAACGTACCCGATGCAGTGCAAACAAATGCCAAGTTTTGCATCAGAAGCCAACGTAGCCCAGATAAATATTCCATGATTATAAGCAGCTATGCTTTATTTAAAGTTTATTGGCTTAGTGAAGCTAGGAGGCTATTAGAACAAGCTATTTCTTTAGCTAATATTGAAAATGATATGATGTGGTGGAGTACAAGAGGTGAAACTTTTAGAAATACTATTAAAAAAAAATCAAAAGTTCACAAATTTCATCTCCGAATTTGATGAGAATATTTCCTTGTTCGAAAAGTCACAGCACTGTACAAGTATCGCTTCTAGAATTATACACGAATGATTGTGCTTTGTAAGACAATGGAGTGAGAATCGAGTTCTACGTCATAGGATACTCCGCTAGCTACAGACCGGTCAAATCAAAACAAATATTGAAATAACAGCCATAATGTCATCGTAGGTGGAACCCAAAATAGCTCTTCCTACAAAGCACAAAAAGAAATCAGCTAATCAGAATATTTTCCAGATGGACAATAATTCTTCATGTATTATACAAAGCATAATCACTCGAATTGTATAATTTAGCAGAGTCTAGAAATGATACAATGATGATGAGGTAATGGCAGTAGATTGACACACTTAACGCATGTACTATGACTTTTCTATCTGGAAACTATTCTGATTGGAAACAAATCTTTTTAGGAACTGATGAATCGTATGCCTCTGACATAGAAGTCACTAGTTATGCCTTACTAGCACTATTAGAACAAAAAACACCTGAAAATATGGCTTACGCTCACTCAATAGTGCAATGGTTGGCTTCAAAAATGGGGCCTACTGGTGGATTTAGATCGACTCAAGACACTATTGTCGCTTTGGATGCTCTTACAAAATACGCAGAGGTTATTCACAGCGATGATATTGACCTTACAATAAATTTGGAAGCTCACCAAGAAAGTCAAATATTTATTTTAAAGAAAAATAATAGGTTGAAATCTAAATTGGTTCAACTTCAAAGTAAAGACGGTGAAGTTAAGTTGCAACTCAGTGGGGTTGGTTGTGTTTTAACACAAGTATGTATATCTAATAAATTCTTTGATATAATCCAAATTATCATTGATAATTTTAGCTGATAATGTCATATTTTACTACAAACATATCAGATACGGAGGCCTTCAAACTAGCAGTGGAAATAGCTCCAGTTTCAAATATCGATGCTTGTTCAATTAAAAGCATTTCCCCTTGTGTTGCTTACGAAGGACCAGATAAAATGTCCAATATGGCTGTGATGGAAGTAGCTTTGCCTTCGGGATTCCAAGCTGATAGAAGTTCTTTGTACGAATTGATACAGCCAGGAAATAATATTAAAATGTTTGAAGAAAAAGACGAACAAATTAATTTTTATTTTACTAATTTAGGTAAAAATCAAGTGTGCTTTACTTTTAATATCAACGAAAATGTGCCAGTGGAAGACAGGAAGGAAGGTCTTATAAAATTGTACGATTACTATAGGCCGGAGAATAGCATACTTCAGTTTTATAAAATTATTAGTAATTGCAGCAGGAGTTTCATTGATGGAGTGGAAGAGGAAGGTTGATAATTATCAGTGCTTAAATTAAGAGAGATTTAATTTGTTTGTTTTTAGTTGGAACAGATGTCAAACCTGAATCATATGTTCGGAAAAATGGAAATGTTGTTGGAGATTTAGAATGTGAGAAATATCAAATACTCTCGAGGTCTTGTTAATATAATGTTATTTTTTTTAAGGTTTATACGTAGTTGGTAATAGAACTCAACAAAAAACTAACGTTCTGACGTATGAAAGAGATATTAGCCAAAACCTCTCACAAGATTATGAAGAAGTTACTCCAAAATGTAAGAAAGAGTAGAAGATTTACTGTACCAATCTAATTAAATATTAACAATATGAATGTAGGTATTCAAGTTTCAATAGATGAAACACGCAAAAAACGAAGTTCTGGATTAAATAATTCAACATCACCCAATTGTATGTCAGTACCCTTTTACAGAGTATCTACAAATCCAAGAATGAACAAACGAAATAAAAGAAACCCAATATGGCTAAGATATAAGAGAAATATCCTAAATAATGATTTTGTTGATTTGGATTTTGATATGGAAGCTCCTAATTGTGAGTAAAACTCTCAATAGAACCAAGATGTGTTAATGAAAGTGTGATATGATGTCTTTATTTTAGGCATAAACATTCCGTTCTATGTGCCATTTCCGTCGCCCAAGAAAAATTCAACAAACGAAGACAGCCAAAATCAAGGTAGGAAAAATGAATGAAGGAAAAACAAAAAGGTAGTCTGCTCAAAAATCAATATTTATTTTTATAAGCATAAATCTAACATAACAACAACTAGTATCACAATGAAACACATTATCTTCTCAAAAAACCATTACATCCTTTATTAACAAATGAGCTCAGTTAACAAACCCATAATACAGCACCTACCAACAAACATAAAACAGAAACTCCCAAAGTTGGCAACTGATGAGAAGAATTATTTAAAAAATGATAATGTGTCAAAGTCTTGTTATGTTTTATTTCTTTAGGTATTGGTATTGTACGGCATTCAACCAAAGGACCACATCCCTTACAACCTGGTGGTTTATACGTGTAACAAACTTGATCGTCAGGACAGTACCGATTTAAGCATGGGTCTTCCACAGAAAATTTTCGACAATCCATATATGCTGCAAATAATTCGTATTTGTACTGGATATTTTGATTAATCGATTGTTTTTTGAAATTTTCGAAAATTATAAAATTAAATTTTACTTACCGTCTTTGCATATTCCTTTCAAACAACATCCACCACAACAAATATAATCATCTGAACACTAGAAAATAAAACATTATACTAATAATACTATACATTTTTTCTACTCACTGATTGGCCATAAGTTCTACAATCCTGGGCTTTACTCAAAGAATCGGAATTAAGTAAAACTAATAAGAGAGCACACAATTTAAACATCATCTTGAAATAATGATAAATAAACTTGAACGAGTATTCACTGTTGCATGATACTTGGGAAACATCTTGTTAGCACCTTGTTCTTATGTTGCTAATTAGTATTATACGCATTTTTAGCGCTCGTGTGTCCAAACATATTTTTGCAGAAGCGTTAGTTACGGTGTAAACAGTTTTTCTTCGCATTATTAAAACTGGTTTTTTGAAATGTATGAGCTTGTATGTATATGTCTCTATCAGAGATTCAACTACTCAATTACTTATAAAATAAAAAGGCAATTTACTTTTTATTAAGGGCAAAATTAATACATTAAAACTTAAAATTTATCATTACCAAAATTTTATGTTACCATTATGTTCTTTGTCCAAGTTAAAATATCGTTGCTGCACTCAACCTCTTCAAAATACTTCTGCAAATCGCTCAAGAAATATTTTGGTATATTTGGTGTTTGTTTCTTAATTAAAAGAGACATTAAAGTAACCCAACCGTCAGCTTTATTGGGGCAATAATGGATTGCTTTTTGGGCAAAAATTCTAGCTTGTCTTAGGTCACCGGCTCTGTGGTAGGATAGTGCTGCTACACATAAAACCTAAACAAAAATTATTATTTTTAATTGAAAGTTTAAACCAAGCTTTGAAAATATGTTTTCTGGGTTGGTCGGAAAGATTTTTTTTAAGGCTCTGGAAACAATAGAGATTTGAAGACTTTTGAAATTATACAACTATAAATGAAGAACATAATTGGAATGGAGTTCCTCCATTACCAGCCTGAAAAGTTTCGGTGATATCACATCTCCCTCCTGTTGGAATGAGATTGGTCATTATCCTTGAGGCTGACGGGATAATTGGTGTGAGATTCTGGACATTTAATCCCACATACGCAATATAACTTGCCATGCGTCTTGATAACTGGATGGAAATGGAAAAGACAGACCGAAATCGGACTGTAAAGGAGTGGAGTTTGGGAACTTACTCTACTTGACTGTTTTATACCCTGCTAATTTGAGTGCTGCTAAGTATACTTAGTTAGCAGCCTTCAGGTATTGAGAAGCTGGTAAAAAGAGTATGCTCCAGAAGTTCTCTTTCAAAATGTCAGGTATTTCCAGAACCCCAAGAACGGAAATAATCCAGCCAATCCTTCTTTGATAAAATAATTAGGCAATAATGAAAAATGTTACTTACTTTTGAGGCATCCACATTATTTTGTCCCAATTTCAGCGCTGCATGAGCACATTTAGCACCTGCTTGTAATCGATGTTTGTCATCTTCTAGTCTTAGTAAAACTTGAGAAAGAATCAGCCAAGTAGACCCTATATGAGGATGTTTTTGCACTAAACGACTTAATTCTGTAACTGCTCTCTTTTTCTCATTCTGAATAAATATAGTTTCAAAGTTTTTTGGATTACCTAGTTGACTGAATAACCTACCGTTAATGAATACAAATAAGACAATAACGAAGCATAATGATAGATATAATCTACATATTCCGGTTTTGTTTGTTTGATTTGAGTTTCCAAATTAACCAATTCTTTGAGCACTAATTGAGCCAGCTTCAAGTCGTTGTGTAGTAAAGACAGGGATAAAGTTGCATATAAACTCCATGGGGATGGTGGTTTCAGGCCAATACTAATAAAATTATTATAAATGTGAAATTTGTAAGTTTTTTTCTAAAGATTTCTTACCTTTGAAATAGTAAAGTCTTAGCTCCATCTAAACCTTGAAATTTATAGGCCATAGCAGCTAAGGCTACTAAGAGTTCAGATTGGAAGGTTTGTTCTTCAGTTAGCCAATGAAGTGCTTGCTCATAGGCTCCGTAGGACTCTTCATATTGACCATCTGAAAAAATGGACAAAAATTGTCGAAAATTAGAAAGGAATTTATAAATCTAATAAACAAATCGTCATAATCTGATTTCACTTGTATGCAAACATAAAAGAAACAGGTGCAAATTTGATCAGCTAACAAGTTAATAGCTCAAACTGGATTTTAAAATTTTAAATAAATATGAAAGCAATCTCCAAGAAAGACTGCAAATGTGTATTTAACAGCATTGAAGTGACACTAAATACAACAAAGCAATCATAACAATGTGTAAGAGCAACTTAAAAGTCTTGCAAAAAACATGACATTTTAAAAATTCTTCTTTAATTATGTACTCACTTCTGAAAAGCGCTAAAGCCAATCCACCTCCACTACTAAATGTAGCAGCTTCAACGTTTGTAAACATATCAATAGCGGATTTGTAGTCTCCTGTCCTAGATAGCATTCTTCCGTAGTTTGTCCTGGCTACATCTTTGTGTTTTCTAGGAGCTAGGACGTAAGCATGTTTGAAAGCTTTTTTGGCAGTTTCTTGAAGTCCCATTCTTTCTGCTAGAATGCCTAGCATGTTCCAGGCACAGCCGTTGTGTGGATTCTTTTCTAAAAAATTAATGTCTATATCAAATGCGCTTTATTCTAATTAAATAAATACATTGGTTGATGCAACAGGTATTTATAAATACAGGGTGTCCGGAAAATAGCGTAAAAGCTCTCCACTTCGTAGTAGGGGATCCTTTGAGTAACAAATTGCAATATTTCGTACAAAGTATTAGGTATCTTTTGTTAATTCATTACATGATGGTTTATTAAAACGCATTATGAAAATTGCAAAATCTCTAAATTACAACAGGAAAAATAGACCTATCTATTTTTAACTGTATGCGCGCGCAACACGAGGCAATGCATTTTTATTGGCTAACTAGTACAGGTGTGAGGCATGGGCGCCGCCAGGATTAGTTTCAGGGAGGTGCATACGGTCAGTGGCGGCGTGTGAATTGTTATATTGGTTCAAATTACTAATTTAAAAAGGTGAATGCCCGACGCAGAAGCTGCCGAAGGCGCGAAAATTTTTCCGGGTACCACGCCCAAAAACGGGGAGGTTTCAAAAAAATAATTTTTCTAGGTGATTAATAGTAGATTATACCACGAGTCAATAATGATAGCTATTATTCCCGAGGATAATTACGAACTGAGCCCCGTTAGCGGCGAGGGAGTAACATTCCGAGGGAATAATAGCCATTATTGCGAGTAGTATACTCTACTTTATTTACGACAAATTATTTTATTTGAGATTTTCAATGAACAAATTTCATCCGTCTCATAATTTTCAATACAAATCCACAAGCACTACACGTTTGACACTGACACTTTTGTGGAATAATGACCATTAATCCCGCTACTCGTCATTAATCCCTGGAGGAATACCATATGTCATTATACTGCCAAAATCACAAATATAATACGCACATTATACATTAGTCGTAAATAAAGTAAATTATATGTTTTCACCTCGGTGGAAAGTGGCACGGGCAGTGGCGGATCTAGGGACGAGTGGCCCTCAGGGCTAAATATATTTGGGGGCCCCTAGGCCTAACCTATCCCTTGAGCAGTGGCGCACCCAGAAAATATGATTATAGGGAATGGGGGGGACCCTACAAAGGTTGTGGCTTGTGTCTAAAAATCTAAATAAAAAATTGACGTGTCAGGGTGCCACGCCACGGTAGTAATCAAATCACAATATATGGACGGTTGGGTCGGTCTGTGTTTCTCGAAATTATGGTCGGATATATTCGGAATATTTCGGAAGCACGCTCAGCGTTGCCAGATCCTCTCAACCACAGAACCGAATATTATTAAGCATGGGCGGTATGGTAAATGCTATTTTAGAAGATAGGAATTGAGTCCTTATTGAATGTAGCTTAATTAAAATGTTATTATATTTGTTTTGCATGTATGACATTTTTTCCTATATATTCGAAATTTTCCGCAGCATCGTGGGGCCCTTTTGGACCGTGGGCCTGGGCTGGGCGGCGCACCGATCTGCCCGGTGATATGTCCGCCCCTGGGGCCCTATTCTGTAAAGAACGAACCGTTCGATTCGGTAGAATTTCTTCGATTTTGACATCATTTTCGGCATTTTCAGAATAGCTTCCGCGCTAGCAAACCGAAAATGACGTCACAATCGAAGAAATTCTACCGAATCGAACGGTTTGTTCTTTACAGAATAAGGCCCCTGGGCACGGGCTTCTCGCAATTTAATACTTTTTTCGACCTTTCAATTTGTAGAAGTTAATGAAATTTATATAATTAAACTAGAATTTGAGTAGATTCGAAATTCCCGCCATTCTACAGGTTGATGGCGCGAAATAAAAATAAAATAGCACGATCCGAGCCGGAAGTGAGCCGAGGAATGTCGCGGGGAACAAAGAGTCCGAGGGGGCCATCGTTTCTCGTTTCGCCAATTTTTTCAAACAGTAGGGACATAAAGCTACTTGAAATAATTCGCCGGTATCGGTATCGGTATCCGTAACGCAACAAGATACGTTGACAAGCGAAAAGGCTGTTAAAGCGCTCCCTGTTCCGGTAAACGTAAACGTATCTCATAACCTGAAAATTTTTGTCTCAAAACTCCGGCGTTTTTATATCTAACCCTAAAATTGTGTTTTTTTTTTGCGATAGAGAAGCACTAAACACACAAGAAACTCAAGAAAGTATAAACTAAACAAATTAAATCAACCCGGAAGAAAACTGAGGTTATATTCATTTAAAATTTGACACATGCGTCAGGAATGTCAAGATACGTTACCGATACGAATACCACGAGAGGGCCGTAACGTTACGGTGTACGTACGGTATGTCGGCCTCCGTATCGCTTCTGCACATGCGCAATACGATACCGATACGGATACCGAGCAAAAAATACGGAAGCTTTATGTCCCTAGTAACTATTAAAAAAATAATAATAATAAAATAATAATAATTTTTTCAATGTATTTCTGACAGGGGGGTGCGGGGTGCAAGTGCACCCCCTTGCACCCTGCTGCCGGCGCCCATGGTGTGAGGTGATCGTTTTGCACGCTGGGCACCTCCTTGTCCTTGTTCATTGCCCGTGGTCTGACAAAGGTAAAATTATGCTTGATATTCAACTTGACGTAGCTTGACAAGTGATCGATTTTGAATTGTTTGTGTTTTTGATTGACAAATAGGTTGCATGTCACGCGGTTCTCCTCCTTCCTTTTTTATCCCGTGCAAATAATAAGAATGGATTGCTATACGTAAGTCTAACATAATTTGGTATGTTTTGCCTCGTCTTGCGCAATAAGCGTTCTGCGTCTTTTTCTATCTAATAAAGTTTTCGTATTATTACCTCTTTGTCTGGTAAAATAGATAGGTCTATTGATCTGACAACTTTTTTTAGTTACCTTCAAATTTTTCAGGTAATTACATAGGTATTTAATTTAATTAGGCAATTCAAACCACGTGACTTTCAAGATGGCGTGGCGGCCACACATGGGCCAAGAAACACAAAAAAATTTCTAGATTCTGCCCGATTTATTAGTTTAGGTACCTAGTCAACAAATATTTTATTAAATAATCCAAATCAAAGTTGCAAGCAAAACTCTAAGCAAAATAATTTGAAATGCGCATAAAAACACAATCAAAACAAACATGCTTGGCCGCCACGTCATATTGAATTTTCCCATCTGACAGATGGATTGAATTGCCTAATTGTGTGACAAATTGTCAACGGGATATTATCAGTGTTGCCAATATTAATAAACATGGAAATGCTAATAACTTTCTTAAGAATGCCACCAGATTTTTTAAATTATTTTTCTGGGGTTCCTTGAGGGGTTCTTCACCACGTAGTGAATAGCTTTTACGCTATTATCCGGACACCCTGTATTATAAAATAGAAACAACATAAACTGTTGTTTGTAGCAAAGGACCAACGACAGTTTATTATATCGCTATTATAATACAACAGGCACATAATATGCCTTGCAACTAGAGGCAAATTCAAACTTATGAACAATGATACACCATACTTTCTACAAGTAATTGGTTTACTCTAAATCTAATTTTTCTCTCAAATTGAACATTCTTGATTTCAAGAGGCAGTTTATTAAATATCAAGAATCAAATAGTCACTGTTGCTAATGTCAATGCTGGTTAGCATCATTATCAGAATTTAAAAATAAAAACACTGTTCATTATTGTTGTTTAACCATGAGTAAGTGACATAAATTACAATTATTTAACATACAACATATTGAAACTATGTATCTATTGATGGCATCGTCATACAAAAAATATTATAATCAGTATGTACTGCCCACATTCATGTGTGAAAGTTTTCTTAAAAACTTTGAACCCATAAAAATACCTATTAGTGGAAGCGCATAGGGCCGAAAATGGGGGTTCGTGGAAAATAAATGAAGTTTTTTTTTTTATCTTTAAGAGCGGCGTCAGATAAGAGCCAGCGTGCCATCTTTTGGGCTCTATGACATACATTAAATATTTTTTAATCACAGTATGCACATTCCCTGTAACTAGATTCACAAGTAGATGGCGACATCTTCAATATCAATTCGTTTACGCAGTAATATACAGTGGACTAAAAAAAATTTTATTCAGATGCAGATGAAATAATAGTATTTCACATTATTAGCTAGGTAAAACAGTTTTTACTGGCGATTGAAAAAAGTTAATATGCTTCCCGAGCTCAGCGACATCTTCAAGAGAAGCTCTGAACACACGTTTGGTTTAAGTCTCTGTTGAAAATGACAGCAATCACCTCTTTGTTTGGCAGATTTTGATTAATTTTGGAATAAAAACTTATAAATCAACGGAAATTCTGTTCTTTTCATTTATTCCAGCATTTTATGATTCGAAATTTGCGAAATTTATTGTTGGTGTGCTACTCTATGTGTTTATCCCTTTTTCATTTAAATCCGTGACCAAAATTTGCATACTGTTGTCAACAAAAGTAGCAATAATTCAACTATTTAGACTGCGAATTTTGCAACCAAAAATGCTTTTACCCATACTTCAATCTATTATTGTTATGAACATAACTTCATTTCACTGGAAAATGGTCTAAATTTGGAATTGAGGAGAAATTTGTGAAGGTCTGTAAATGACATTTTATTTAAACGCCCCTCTTAATTTGTCACAGTCGCCATATTGGAAAATCACGTGGTTTAGAGAGCCTAATAGGTAGACATCCAGGGGTGCGTTCAAGGACGGCAATGCTAATGCCAAAACCTACTTTTCCTCCTCCACTTGTAATGCCGAACAACGTAGGTTGGAGCCGAACTCGAACGCAAAAAGCCAATTTTGGCTTGGCTGTAGCCATTCCTGAACGCAGCCCAGCTAATCCACAATTAAGTTAAAAAGACTTGCATAGATAACATACAGGGTGTACAGGGTCGCCCGTTCATTTTGTCCTATCTCAGTATATGGAAATCTAGATATTTTATGACAAAAAGATTTACACAAAAGTTGTAGGGTTTTAATCAATAATTTGTTTTTTTGTATTTGCGCATATACAGGGGGTGTCGGAAAAGTGTGACACGTCAGATTTTTAATTTTATTTC